CCCCCCCCCCCCCCGCCCCATAATAAAGATGCTTGTATTTCGCCTTCCCGGGTTCCTCCTCATCAACAGAATGACATCACCTTTCCATTATATACATTGTATACCTGGTGATGTCATCACTGGGCCACTGTGCATCTCTCTGCAATACAGGCAGATCATGGCTGGGTGGGAGGGGCCGGCAGGGTGCTGTAAAGCAAAGGGTGGGCTCTTGGGAGGAGATATGCAAATATCAAAAGGCCTTGATGGGTGGATGTCAGTCTGGAGAAGACTGAAGGGAAGGACGGAGGTCAGATAGAAGACTGAAGGGGAGGACAGAGGTCAGATAGAAGACTGAAGGGGAGGACAGAGGTCAGATAGAAGACTGAAGGGGAGGACAGAGGTCAGATAGAAGACTGAAGGGGAGGACAGAGGTCAGATAGAAGACTGAAGGGGAGGACAGAGGTCAGATAGAAGACTGAAGGGGAGGACAGAGGTCAGATAGAAGACTGAAGGGGAGGACAGAGGTCAGATAGAAGACTGAAGGGGAGGACAGAGGTCAGATAGAAGACTGAAGGGGAGGACAGAGGTCAGATAGAAGACTGAAGGGGAGGACAGAGGTCAGATAGAAGACTGAAGGGGAGGACAGAGGTCAGATAGAAGACTGAAGGGGAGGACAGAGGTCAGATAGAAGACTGAAGGGGAGGACAGAGGTCAGATAGAAGACTGAAGGGGAGGACAGAGGTCAGATAGAAGACTGAAGGGGAGGACAGAGGTCAGATAGAAGACTGAAGGGGAGGACAGAGGTCAGATAGAAGACTGAAGGGGAGGACAGAGGTCAGATAGAAGACTGAAGGGGAGGACAGAGGTCAGATAGAAGACTGAAGGGGAGGACAGAGGTCAGATAGAAGACTGAAGGGGAGGACAGAGGTCAGATAGAAGACTGAAGGGGAGGACAGAGGTCAGATAGAAGACTGAAGGGGAGGACAGAGGTCAGATAGAAGACTGAAGGGGAGGACAGAGGTCAGATAGAAGACTGAAGGGGAGGACAGAGGTCAGATAGAAGACTGAAGGGGAGGACAGAGGTCAGATAGAAGACTGAAGGGGAGGACAGAGGTCAGATAGAAGACTGAAGGGGAGGACAGAGGTCAGATAGAAGACTGAAGGGGAGGACAGAGGTCAGATAGAAGACTGAAGGGGAGGACAGAGGTCAGATAGAAGACTGAAGGGGAGGACAGAGGTCAGATAGAAGACTGAAGGGGAGGACAGAGGTCAGATAGAAGACTGAAGGGGAGGACAGAGGTCAGATAGAAGACTGAAGGGGAGGACAGAGGTCAGATAGAAGACTGAAGGGGAGGACAGAGGTCAGATAGAAGACTGAAGGGGAGGACAGAGGTCAGATAGAAGACTGAAGGGGAGGACAGAGGTCAGATAGAAGACTGAAGGGGAGGACAGAGGTCAGATAGAAGACTGAAGGGGAGGACAGAGGTCAGATAGAAGACTGAAGGGGAGGACAGAGGTCAGATAGAAGACTGAAGGGGAGGACAGAGGTCAGATAGAAGACTGAAGGGGAGGACAGAGGTCAGATAGAAGACTGAAGGGGAGGACAGAGGTCAGATAGAAGACTGAAGGGGAGGACAGAGGTCAGATAGAAGACTGAAGGGGAGGACAGAGGTCAGATAGAAGACTGAAGGGGAGGACAGAGGTCAGATAGAAGACTGAAGGGGAGGACAGAGGTCAGATAGAAGACTGAAGGGGAGGACAGAGGTCAGATAGAAGACTGAAGGGGAGGACAGAGGTCAGATAGAAGACTGAAGGGGAGGACAGAGGTCAGATAGAAGACTGAAGGGGAGGACAGAGGTCAGATAGAAGACTGAA